TGAAGTAAAGCGCCAAAGAGAGAAAGCACATGGTGAATCTAGAAAATCAAACAACATAGGAGCATTGTATCAAAACGACAAATCATTCCGAAGGAAAAGAGAGAGGCAAGTGTTGGTAAAGCTATGGGGGAACAATGGGGGATTTAGACGGCCGAGCCGGAAGGTCCACCCGCTTTGGACATGGCTAAGCTGGCCCCTGGATTCTGGTCGTTCTGACCACCTTCCACTTCTTCTTCTTCCTCTTCTTCCGACGCACTCGAGCTCCCCCCGTCCAGATAGGGACTGGGGTCGAACTCGGCCAAGGAGCGGCAAGGAGGAGGGAAGCCAAGGTCGGGGAGAGAGAATCCTTTGGGGAGCTGGGCCAGCCTGTCGTGGAAGACCTGTTGGGCGTGGAAGAGTCTGCAATTGAAGGACTTGGTTCCCTCCTTGACCATCCATTGAGCCCCAGGTTCAGTTTTGAGCCAAGCGGCCGTTAGCTCTTCCATCCGCTCCATCGCGACTACCGTGAAGTCAGGAGAGGACTTGAAGGATTCTACCGCTCCCTCTTCATGGCGGACCCAATCGCTCCTCTCCACCTCCAACTGCTGGATCAGATCAGATTTCTCCCCTTCCAGCTCGACCACTCGAGCAGAAACAGATTCTACCTCCAAGGACAAGGAGGCCTTGTCTGCCTCAAGGGCGACGCAGCGGTTCTCCTGGGAAGCTTTCTCCACAGCAAGCGCCGCGCAGCGATTTTCTTTCTCCTCCAACTCCCTGGTGAGTCGAGCGACCTCCTCCTGCAGCTCCTTCTGCTTGGCCTCGGCTACTTTCATCGCCTCGTCCGCGGCGGCCTGGCGACCCCGTTTCCGGCCGACCACCTCAATCATCCCCAGCGTAGCCTGCGCAAAGGGGTGAGGGTTAGGGGCATAAAGAAAAGGAGTGATGCATAGGAGATCAAGACCAGTACCTGACTGAGCCTCAAAAGGACCATGTTGTCAAGGTCGTCCTCGGAGCCTGCTAAGATACGAGCCTGGTCTTCTGCAGGCAGAGTGATCAGAGTCTCCAGCTGTACGTCCCCTAGGCTTTGGGGCAGGGGAGGGATGCAGAGCCTCGTCGAGCGACCCCCGGTCGCCACCTCGTAGGTCACTGCGGGTGGTGAGGGAGGTCGCTCCAAGGCAATGCCCTAAGACGACCCAACGAGGTCGCCACCCTGCATCGCGGGGTGTGGAGGGGATTGGCCAGCCATGGTACCCGGTTTCTGGGTAGCATCTTCTTGGTCCTCCACCACAATTACGGCCGGCTCTCGAGAAGGACTCTCCTCGTGGTAGGATGAAGAACGTTTGCCCTGGCCCTTCGTCTCTCTCTTCCTTTTCCTCCCTGCAGTGAAGCGACTGAGAAGGAGATCGCTGTCCATCTCCTCTCCTGAATCTTGTAATTCCACTGGAAACAAAGGAAATGGTCAGCCTTGGGAAAAGATAAATTAAACATCTGGGCAAAAGAAAAGGTCACCTACCAAAAGGACCACAGTCAAGACCTTCCTCAGGAATGTCCTTCAGCTGGTCAGGCTGATGCCCCCCGTGGATGTCCCTCAGTAGGTCGGGTTGGTGGCGAAGCTCATCCCGAACAAACTCAAACCCCAACCCGGCAAGGGTTTCCTCTGTCACCACCTCTTTGATGTTCATAACTCCCTTATTGCAGAATTGGCGAGTGATAGACAAAAGGGTGGCATCAGGTGGGGGGCGTGGGATGCGGCGGAAGGAAGGGCGCCCTGAACCCGTGAAAGGAGATTCGGGCCCCGTCGAAATGAAGACAAAGAAAGGCTTCCAGTCTTTGGTTGACCCCTTCTTATCACTAGCAAAGAGTTTACTGGACCTCTGGGAAAGACTGGCATAGGACGCCCAATCTTTATGGCCCTTGGTCAGTTTGAAGGTGAATATGAAATGGTCCAAGGTCGGCTTCACCCCTACATCCTTGCACCGGACCAGGTAACCGGCGATGTACCGGTGAGAGTTGGGGACCAGTTGGCATGGGAGAAGGTCCACCACGTTGAGGAATTCGATCAACAACGGGTGGAGTGGGAAGCGCAGCCCCTTCTTCAAAGACGCCAGATGGACCGTGAAGAACCCCGACGGTGCGTCTAGAGCAGTTTGAGTACTGGTAGGTCTCATGACCTCGATGGAGGGTCCAACCATGTCAGTGGCATCGGCGAACCCCTAGTCAGTAATTTGACAATGGCACAACGCCATGATGTTTTCGTCCAATTCAACCCTTGAGCCCTCATCTACCGGAGTTGAGGAAGGGTATTGCTTCCTCAATCGACGCCGTTTGTGGCCAGGCACGGCCGACGGCGATGGCCGGGGTGATGGAGTGTGGCCGGGGTTACGGTCAGAGGCCGATTTACCGGTTGGCGAGAATTGGACGATGGGGTAGCCGAATCGGAATCTGAGACAATCATGGCGGTGAGAGAAGGAACTGACCTGGACAGGAAGAAGAACGAGTCGGGTGAGCAGCGGAGTTGCAGACGAACGGTAGTGAAGAAGGCGAAAGAAAGAGATGGCGTTCAGCGGCAGTTTTTAACTGACAACAGGGAGGCGAATCGGCAGGCCATGATTACTTATTTGTGGAGATCGTGCCCAAGTGTCGAGCGGAACCCAAGGAACGGCCCGGATCCCCGCTGGAGCGTCCACGTGGACTTTGCAAACTCCCCACTCCTCCGCTTGGCCCAGCTGAGGACTGAGGAGTTGGGGGGCTTATAATGGGCCGATATCAAGAGGACGGCCCAAATGAACCATTTAAACAGCTTCGGGTCAAGCACCTGTGAAATACTCAAGCTGGGCCGGCCCATGGAGCTGGGCCTAGTTAACCCCAGGCCAAGCGCAGCTGGCAGAGTCAATCCGGAGAAGGAGACGGAGCTGATGGGCCGTTACGGAGCCGGGAAAAGGGGATCGCGCCCTTGGCGGGATAGACTCCATCGGTTATGCATTACCTTAATTGTTTAGAGCTCATGTATAAATAGAGGGGACCCGAAAGGGGAGAACTCAAGCTAAATCAAGCTGGTAATACACGTCCAATTCTCGAATTCTTGTTCTTAGTTTTGTTCTTACGATCCGCTTTGTAAACCGGATCATTTGGTGGATTTATTGTCCATCAAATACCTATACTCCCTTCATTTCGAACTGATTGACACAAATTTGTTTTTAAGTTACTCCCACAAAACTTGCACACTTCTACTTTCACTTATTCTTACCTATTAGCTATTTTTTGTAATTTGTGTGAATTGGCTACTTTTACAATATCTTGGTGCTCATTCTTCTTATTCAATGGGTTCACATCAGTTGAATCGCAACTGTGTATCAGTAATTAGCAAGTGAGGTTCTTTAATATAATATGTTCTTGACCTTGAGGTTGTTTCCATATATCACATTCAAATTTCAAAATACCCTTTTATTTTGAACAATCCAAGTTTACATAGAAAACTCAGATTTGAAGGGCAATCTTACTGGTAATGACCAAGGAAAAAGAAAAAACACAGTTAAAAGTGTTCGGTTGTATGGAGTGCTCCTCTTCCACAGCATGGACTTTTTGCCAAAAAATATGTGTACAAATATGTTTAAAGAACCTCTAGGGTAGTTCTTAAGGTGCCTCTTTAACACTATGTTTGGTTTAAAGATTTTGAAAAGGAAAAGAAAAGAAAATGAGATGGAAAATAATTTTTTTTGTTTGCCTAGAGAAGAAAAGAAACGAAAAGTAGAAGGAAAAAAATGAGAAGACAAAATATACTACGAGGGAAAAGTAAATTCCTCCTATTTTAGTAAGGAAAACTAGACTCTTACCCGTGCGATGCACGGGCGGTAAAATAACTTATATTTAGTCTTGGTTTGAAATAAAATAAAATGAAAAAAATAAAAAAATTACAAATTTTATTAAAATTGCCCAAAAAAAGGTATTGTACATCAAGGATTGTAGTCTAAAACTCTAAATGCAGTGTTATAAGTTTTGGAACACTTCTTTATAAACAACATTCGTATAAACTAATTCCTCTTTACAATAAATTAAGGAAATAATGAATTTTCTATAATTACGATTTCGAATTTCGTGAAATGCATGTCAGAAAAAAGTATCATAGAAAAAAAACATTAATGTGGTTTTGTTTTATTTGAATAACACCAACTTTAAGTGGACTATACCTTGCAATAAATTCATGTATTGGATTATAAAATTAGGGGTGCAAACATATATTAATCGGATCGGTTGTTCCATTACCAAATCCGTATCCATTTATTTTTGTCGGATATCGAGTTCGGCTAGGATCTTGACAGATACTAAAATTCAAAACCGTATCCGCATTAGTCAGATATTGGTCGGATATTGGATATAATACACATGCAAATTGGATAAACGGTTATTTAAACGGATGCATATTCGGATCGGAGTTTAAATGGATCGAATATTACATATGAAAAAAGTTGTAGAATTAAAATACAAAAATTACATATTCTAAAATTACATCAGAAGATAAACAAAAGTAATGTAGACATGACTATATTGACACAAAGTTACTTTTTCATCTACTTTCTGGAGCCACTAAATTTTTTTCTCCAATGCAACTTTATGGAACCACTAAAATTGAATAGACATAATGCAATTTCATTAATTGGTGACTTGACATATATGGAAAAGAAGATTTGTACTATTTTCTACTTGATATGCATTAAATGCTGATTGGACAAAAACTACTTTTGCACAGTAAAATATGCTAAAGAAATGGATCCCAAAATTGACCCAATGGATAGCCCAATTGCAGAACCCCATGTCCAGTTACCCGGGCCAAATATAGCCCAATGACAGTGACCCGGCCCAATAAATTTTGGCGGGAACACTATTCATTTTAGCCTCCTACCATTGTATATATACTGGAGTGAAAATGAGACGTAGTGTAAGTAGTAATGGAATGTTGTGTTTTGGACAAAAAAAGTTTACAAATACCTTTGTGGTTATATGTGAGAATGTTTTTGGAATAAAAACTTACACCCTATCATTTTTATGTGTGCATTCTCTTAATTTTAAGTGTATGTGCTTGTGCTCAGGCACTTCATAACCCCTTCTCACTTTATTGTTTGATTTATATACTTTTGCTAAGTCATTGTACAAAAATGGGCACCCACACACGTAGTGTGCCTGGCTAGTAATAATAATATATACTATAAGGGCCTAAGAAGGTTACTCTTACCTTTTTTCGTCAAAATGTAACGAGTATACTGTTCACCCTAGGCAAGAGTTTCTTGCCTAAGAAGGTTACTGTTACCTTTTTTTGTCAAAATGTAACGAGTGTACTGTTCACCCTAGGCAAGAGTTTCTTGTCAACATTTAACGGCACTTCTGTTCACTGTTCACCTACCTCTCGTCTATTCTACTTGCCCACTAAGCCTCTACTATTTTGCCGCTCACCGCCCTATTAGAAATATTAGAATGAATTCACAGCATAATATTCATCTTCATTTGAATACATCACACTTGATGTCTATAAATATTACAAAGTACATAAAGAGGACAATTAAGGAAAGTGATTGGAACCTAATCAAATATCTTGATTGGTAATTTGATTCCAATCAAGGATATTATCCTAATCATCAAGACATTACAATCAATTCCTTTGTTTGACACTATTCCTTTGTTTGACATTTCTAACACTCCCCCTCAAGTTGAATCATCCGTTCCGGATATTTAACTTGCTTAATGTTGCTTGAAAGACTCCAGCCGGTACTGCTTTTGTTAAAATGTCTGCCAACTGATCTTCAGATCGGACATATGGAAGACTAATGATATCTGCCTCGATTTTTTCTTTGATAAAGTGACGATCAATCTCGATATGCTTGGTAAGATCATGTTGTACTGGATTCTCTGATATACGGATATCAGCGGTATTAATGCATACACTTTCCCTTCAGCGGGTACCCCAAATCTTTAAGGAGTTTTCTTAACCAAAGGACTTCGGTAATTCCTCGAGCGATACCTCTGAATTCTGCTTCTGCACTTGATAAAGCAACTACCTTTTGTTTCTTGCTTTTCCATGTGACCAGATTACCTCCAACAAAGGTGAAATACCCTGAAGTGGATCTTTGATCGTTTGGATTTCCTACCCAGTCAGCATCTGTGTAGGCTTGAATATCTAAGTGACCATGTTTTTTGAATGTAACTCCCAGATTAATGGTCCCCTTAAGATATCTCACAATTCAGATAGCCGCATCCCAGTGTTCCTTCTGGGGTTTGTGCATGAACTGACTTACCACTCCGACAGCATATGCAATATCAGGTCCTGTGAGTGCGAGGTATATAAGTCTGCCTACAAGTCTTCGGTACTTATCTTGATCAGCTTGTATTCCTCCCTCACTAATTTTAAGTTCGTGGTGAACCATCATCGGAGTGACAGCTGGTTTGCAATCCATTAATCTAGTTTCAACTAAAAGATCAAGGATATACTTCTTTTGACAAATAAATATCTCCTCTTGAGATTTGAGAACTTCAATGCCAAGGAAAAAGGTAAGTTCTCCAAGATCTTTCATGTCAAATTCCTGGAATAGCTTGCCTTTCAGTATAGCCATTTCTTCTATGTCACTGCCAGTGATTATCATGTCATCCACATAGATGATCAAACATGTTATCAGCTTGCCTCGTCTTTTTAGAAACAAGGTATGATCAGAGTTGATTTGACGATATCCATATTTCTTCATGGCTATCGTAAATCTGCCAAACCATGCACGTGGAAATTGTTTTAGACCATACAAAGCTTTTCACAATCTACAACCTTCACCTTCTCTGAAATCCGACGAGAACCCAGGTGGTGCTTCCATGTAAACCTCATCTTTTAGCTCTTCATGGAGAAAAGCATTCTTCACATCAAACTGTTATAAGGGCCAATCAAGATTAGCTGCTACGGAGAATAACACTCGGATAGTATCAATTTTGGCTACTGGTGAGAAAGTCTCAGAGTAGTCAATACCATAAGTTTGAGTATATCCTTTAGCTACCAATCTGGCCTTATATCTCTCGATTGTACCATCTGCTTTGTGTTTGACTGTAAATACCCATCGGCATCCGACTGGTTTCTTTCCTGGGTAGAGTTGACATTTCTCCCATGTGTTGTTTTTCTCTAGTGCCTTCATCTCCTCCTCCATTGCTTTTCTCGATTCTGGTATTCGTATGGCTTCGTCTACTATTTTAGGGACTTCATGGTTGGATGTGTGAAGTGCCTGTGATACACTCCCCCTGACTAGATCAGCAACAGGATATCTTGAGTTCCGAGGGATGTATTCTGGTTCATATCTGACAGGAGGAATTCCCCGATTCTTCCGTGGTGGGAGAACATATCTGTTTGATATATTCAATTCTTCCACGGTATCATTAGATTTATCAATGCAATCATCAGGAGTGGGAGAAATACTAACCTCAGGAGTCTTTTCAGACGGAGAAGAATCAGACATGAGTTCTGAGTTATTGGACTGTTCAATGTTCTCAAAAGATGATCTCACGGAGTGACTTACTTCCTCGGTTGTGACAGTTTCAGGTGGCAAGACTAGGCTGTGTAACAACTCTAGAGAGTCATTCGTAATTTTCTCCCCCTGACTACTAGAGTGGTTTTGGAAATAGTATTCAGTTTCCAAAAAATTACAATCCATTGTCGTGTACATGCGACGAGAAATAGGATCATAACATCTGTATCCCTTTTTGTGAACCCCATACCCAACAAAGACACATCGGACAGCACAATGATCAAATTTTGTTCGTTTGGCTTTTGGAATATGTACATATACAGTGCAACCAAAAACACGAGGAGTGAGAGTCAAGGAGGTAGGAATAGTGGAAAATCTTGCGAGTGTATCAATGGGTGTTTTGTGATTTAGGATTTTTGTCGAAAGGCGATTTATGAGGTAAATGGTGGTTGCAATTGCTTCGGGCCAGTAATAAGTCGGAACATTTGACTCAATCATAAGAGCCCTAGTGATTTCGAGTATGATCCGATCCTTACATTCAGCAACGCCATTTTGTTGAGGGGTATCAGGACAAGTGGTTTGATGGATAAGACCTTTTCCTTACAGAAATTTTCCATGGGATGATTTATGTATTCTCCTCCATTATCAGATCGAAAAATACACATCTGTTTTTGATATTGTGTGTGGATCAATTTGTAAAATGAGGTGAACTTTTCAAAAACTTTAGATTTGTGTTTAAGAAAGTACACCCAGGTCATACGGGTACAGTCATCAACAAACAATAAAAAATATTGATACCCATTTGGACTTGGTTCTGGAGATGGACCCCACACATCAGAATGGATTAATGAGAAAGGTTGTGATGCAACTGTGTTATTTAACGAATATGAATGTTTATGACTTTTGGCTAGAATACAACTGTTGTAATGAAACTGACATGATTTATTGAATAATTTTGGAAAGAGAATTTTGAGATACCCCCAAGATGGATGTCCCAAACGACGGTGCCACAACCATGCCTGCATGTCCACTATCTCATGAGAAAGCGTATATGTTCCGTAGTGATCAACTTCCTCAACATAGTACAGGCCATTACGCTCAGAACCACGCCCAATGATCTTACCCATCCGAATATCCTGTAATAAGCAAAAGGTGGGGTGCATTAGGACCATGCAATTTAATTGTTTCGTGACATGACTTATTGACAGCAATTTATGAGACAATGTGGGAACATATAGGCAATTCTCCAGCCAGATAGAATTTGAGATAGATATTGGACCAGTGCCCTCGACACGAGAATAATCCCCATTGGCCGTTTGGATATGGGTTTTCTTGGACCAATTTAGAGAATTAAAATTGGAATGGTCGAAGGACATCGTGTCAGTAGCCCCACAGTCAAAAATCCACTGGTTATTTTTAATTTGGTTGGGTTTAGGCCAAATTCTATTTATCGGGCATGATTTGGATAGAGAATTTAATCCCTCTCCCCAAACCCTACCCGTCACTTCGCCCCTACCCGTAACTTCTTTGCCTTTCCTTCTTACGCCGCTGCTCCCTTCTTCGACATTACTCATGGTGATTCCGGCGAAATTTTCAGATGCTTGGACGGCGATGGTGCTGGTGGTCTCTTGATTGCCCACCACTGCCCCAGCGACCCCAGACAGCTTCTTCCCCCTCTTTCGGCTGTCAGGCCACCAATCTGGGTACCTGATTCTTTTGAAGCACCCATCTTCGGTGTGTTTGGTTTCGCCACAGTAGGTACATTTCAATTTTGATTTGTCCTCATTTATGCGAGATGACGATACCAGGGATTTTTCCGATCGCAATCCAGCCCGTGTGGCTGCGAACCCACTGCCAAGACCTAAGGGAACATCTCCCGATGAAGACCCATCGTCTCCCTTCATTATTCCTTTCTTGGTAGCCTCCCTCGTGATTTCGGCGTATGCCTCTTCTGCGGAGGGGAGGGGATCTGTTTTGAGTATGTCACGTTTTTCTACATCGAACTCTTCGTTTATGGCTTGTAGAAATTGTGTGAAAATCGTCATATCCTCTGGGCATTTCATCGGGTTGGGTCGCCTCCTGTCGATTTCCTTCCACACAACTTGCAATTGGATATAGACCTTCTCTAGTGTCTAGTCTCCTTGTTTAATGCTGCTAGCTTTCACCATCAAGTTGTATACCTGCAAGGGATCTTTCCCGGAGCCGTAGGTGGCTTCGATTCCCTTCCACAGATCCCAAGCAGTAGGATAATCGATACATTGATTGACAATATCCGATTCTATGTTTTCTAGAATCCATGTTATAACCGTTGAATCTGCTTGTCTCCATTTGATAAGTTTGGGGTCATCAGATTTGAGAGGTGTGGCAGTGATGTGCTTGAGCCACCCTCTCCCATCCAACTCCAGACGCATTTTGCGCGCCCAAATGGCGTAGTTCCTATCATTTAGCTTTTCCGCCATATTTAATGGTTGATTGGAAGGGCTCTCGGTAGGTTCGGCCTTGGGTGCCAAATTCTGAAAATTTTGAAGAATTTCCAGAATCTGTGCAAGATTGATCGGCTGATTCATCAGGTCAGATTCCTCTGTGTTGGTGGAGCTGCCCGTTTGAGGAGTTTTATCGGACATTTTTTTTAATTTATGGTAGATGATGAATGCTGCGTTTCATTCAATTGTTTGATCAAATGATGGCTCTGATGCCATATTAGAAATATTAGAATGAATTCAGAGCATAATATTCATCTTCATTTGAATACATCACACTTGATGTCTATAAATATTACAAAGTACATAAAGAGGACAATTAAGGAAAGTTATTGGAACCTAATCAGATATCTTGATTGGTAATTTGATTCCAATCAAGGATATTATCCTAATCATCAAGATATTACAATCAATTCCTTTGTTTGACATTATTCCTTTGTTTGACATTTCTAACACGCCCCTCGATGCTTATTCGTTGCTCACTGTCCCACGATGGACAAGCCCATTCTTATCTTCGTCCTCCTTTAACTCTCAAAGTATGCAGGTATTCCCCTTCTCTTCATCATTTTACATACAAAAATGCTAGGGGTACACCAATTCTTGTACCCCATTTGTACCCCCCTCCATCTCTACCACACAAAAGCAAGAAAAGAAAAATATTAAAAATATTAAGGGAAATCTATGGCTATGATTGTTGGTGTACAAATGGGGTACACCATTTGGTGTACCCCTAGAATTCCTCTTTTACATACCCCTTCATATCAGTGTTGTCTTTGGATTCATCAATCATCCCATTTTCAAATTTCTTGCTTTTGCTAATTAAATTTCACACCTTTTCTGAATATCATTGACAATTGAATTTCACCTCTTTTTCAATTAGGTTTACCGGCTGAAACTTCAATCCCTTTAAGAAGTTTTGATTTTTTTCCAATTCTGTCAGTTTACAGAGTGATATTTTAAAACACTTACTTGATTTAAGAATCTTAATTTAGGTTTAAAAAAATTAAAAAATTAACACTTCTTTATTTCTATTTCCATCACTCTGTTATTTTTAAAAGATTTGTTTCATTTTAGTATCAAAAGTTATGTTATAACATGTTTGAAAATTTAATTTTTTTTTTGAATTTAAATTACTCTGATATTTACTCAGTCTAATTTGAAAACATTTACTTCGTTTAAGAATCTGACTTTAATTTTTAAAAACATCTATAATTAGAACTCTTTTTCTTTCTATTTCAATGGCTCTGTTAATTTTAAAAAATTTACTTCATTTTAGAATCTGAATTTAGGTTTAAAAGCAAATCTCTAAAATTTGAACAGTTTTTTCTTTCTATTTCAATTAATATGTTATTTACTCTATTTTTGAAAAAGTCATTTTTTCTTTTTTTTACTAAAAAAAAGTCCTCTATGTGTATGTGAGTCGATCATTTTTTGGATTGTTCATTGGTGTTTGGTGTTTTTATTGTAGTTAGAGCAATTTTATTGGTTAATTTTTTATTTAAGTTCTTAATGCTTCATACAGGTGACCAAATACACTTCATGTTCTTTGTTGATCATGTTCCACTTGCTTGGTAGGTTCACGCACTTCTATGCTTTGGTACTCTTGACATTTTAGGAAAAAAGTATTAGTATCCTTATTGAATTCCAACTAAATTATCTATGTTGCGGTGTGTTTTGAATTTACATTATAAATCGAAGCTGATACTTATTATTTAGCATCACATATTTGTTCCTGGCTTTGGTGTTTTTTTGCCCTCTTCATAGGCTTTCATACTTCAGGGTATGTTGTTGCTGCTAATGGAATAATGATAATTATATTCTAAAAAACTTTGAAATCTCTCTTATAAAATTCTAACTTTTAATGCTAATGTAGAAACTGTGGGTATTTACGACTCCCATAATATACCCTTCTGAGTTGCATACTTTAAACAAAAAAAACATTGGGAAAGACTGCATTTTAGAATGAGGAAATAGTGTTCTTCATTGAATTATAGCTTTTGAATAATTCTGTAAGTCTGATTTCAACTCAAGTTTATTTTATTACTAAAAACTAGTTCTCTATGTGTATGTGACTTTTAGTTTTGGATTTGTTGGTTGGTATTTGGTTTTTTATTTTTATAAAATTTGAATTGATTTTTCTTTCTATTTCAACTACTCTTTATTTAATGTATTTTTGAAAAATTCCTTTCTTGTCTTTTTTTACTAAAAACAAGTTCTCTATGTGTATGTGAGTCATTATTTTAGATTGTTCATTGGTGTTTGGTGTTTTTATTTTGGGTAGAACACTTTTTTCAATGGTTAATGTTTTCATTTAAGTTCTTAATGCTTCATACAGGTGACTAAATACAATTCGTGTTCTTTGTTGATCTTTTTCCACATGCTTTGTAACGCCCCAAAAATAGGCTTATCAGAATTAATTAATTAATACTCCCTCTGTCCTAGTGTATTTGTCTAGTTTGACTTTTTCGAGTCAAACTGGACAAACTTTGAGCTTCAATTAAACAAAAACCGTAATGTATTTTAACATAAAAATAACTTTATTAGATTTATCGTATTGAAAACTTTCAAAATTGTATTTCTTTATGCTAATATGCAATATAAATTGAAAGAAATTAGAGTTTAAAGTTTGTCCAGTTTGACTCAAAAAAGTCAATTTGGACAAATACACTAGGACGGAGGTAGTAATTAATTAATTATTGAGAAGGACCCAAAAATAAGTGAATTATAAAGTTTGTCAATAAATAACGAAAATTATATCGTTGTGTAGAGTTTGAGTGTCTCATCGCAACGGTTCAATCGGATTTTAATTCGGAGAAAGTTGGACCAAAAAGTGTACCCCGACTAGGACCAAATTAGTCCTAATCAGGGACTTGCGTTTAGAATCAGAGGAATCTGTCAGCAACTCCACTGAGACACCAAAACAGTGATGGGGAGGTCATCTCCCATGCCTTCTTCTCACTCTCTCTTCCTATATAAACCCCAATTTTTCACCAATCCTCACCATTCTTATTCCAAAAGAGAGAGCTGAGTGTAAAGAGTATTGTAGTGTTGCCAATTTGGTGTGAAGTCGCCAGAGAGCTAGCCACAAACGTTGTCGGAAGTTTCGCCGTCTTTTTGCCGGAATCATCGTTTAGTATTAAGGTAAGCTCGTAGATATATCTAATGACTAGAATGTTCATATAGGTCGTTTCTACGTTCATAAATGGTCATTTGGTTGAGTTTGTGTTTGACATGTTTGAAGAACCAAGAATCATAAACCTTGAAATTGTTGTTAAAACTACGAATTAATGTTACCAAAATGATCTATGAACATTGGAGAACATTTCTATATAGTTTAATTGAAGTTTGGTGACTAAAAATAAAATTCTCGAAAATAAACCCGAGGAAGAAAACGATGAACAGTGCATGGTAACACACTACCGCCGGTACGGTAGATAGGTACAGTTTAAAAGGTACCCACCTACCCCCGGGATAGTAGGATGCTACCGTCGACACCAAGTTCCTCTGGCGGTACCTGTCTACCGGCAGTACCCCCTACCACTGGCATGGTACCGAGGTACCGTGAAGGGTACCGTCTGATCCGATTATTTTCCAGAAAACCCAATTTTTGAACCATTAAATCCTATTTTTAACACCAACTAATTATGATCAATATGAATATGAATTCTGGAAATAAAAATGATGTTTTGACAATTAAAAAGATCTTATGTGATGCATGAGGATAAGCTAGGGTGTTAACACTCAAAGCTAAACTGCTATTTGCTATTGCTTTGAATGTTATGTTGATTGATGATTATGATGCATAACTATTATTAATTAATGAAGATGATTATTCTGAATGAAATGACGATTATGAAGTATTGAACTATAATTAAAATAAATGGTTTGAAGAAAAATGAGTGGTATTGTTAAGGCTGATGGGTGTATTCCACCCAGAACCAGTCAAAGAGGAAGTCCAAATATTTGACCGGTCAAGTGGATTATTCTTGGAAGGGAGACCCAAATCGTCAGTAAAAGGATGCTCGGTTGACCAAAAAGTTGACCGGTATACTTCGGATAGTATACCGGTCAAACTACTTCATCACCTCGTTCATTCCCTAATTTCGATAAACTTATCCCTCAGAAATCACCCGGTGTAATTTCTAGGGTTGGGGGTGTCGGCAGAGAAGAGTCCAAAGGAGTTTGGACCGTAGCGACCAAGATCAGTGGAGAATCACTGGAGATATTCGAACAAAGGAATCCATCCAAGGTGTTGCATGACAAAGGGAGTAAGCTTCCTCACTAGGCGACAAGGCAGCTAAAGGACGAAGGCCATCACCTCTCACCATCCAAGAACGTGCCTTCACGTGGGTGCACGAAGTCTTGTCCCCTTCAAACTTAGTATAAATACTGCTGTAATCCTCAGAAAGAGGGATCGGAATTTCATTCCCTCTAAACCCCCCTGTAAAATCACCCGTGCATTCTCTGTTATAATATTAATTGGGCTACAAGTGTTTCCACCTAAAGTCATCCCGGTCATATTTGTGTGTTTTTACCTTTTTACTTCTCGAATCAAGTAAACAATCCTAGACCCGGTCTAGAATAGTTTACCCGGTTAGGTAATTTAGACCATCATTTTTGGCGCCACCCGTGGGACCGTTAAGGTTTCTTCTCATCTAAACACAAACCTACCCACAAAAACACCACTCAAAATGCCTTCAAGCCAACAAATCAACGCTACCTCTGCTCAGGTGCAAGCCACCACTGAGGGGGTCAGCATCCCCATGGTTGCGACCCAACCGGCTGTTTCTGCTCCTGTGTTGCCATTGGGTCTAAGCTCAATCCCAACCCCCAGCGTGGTCAGCCCGTTCACGATCCCTGCCCCTTCTGCTGGACCGAGGGTCACGTTCCAACCAAGCACGACCCAGTTCATGAACGACCCGGCCAATCTACAGGTCATCCAAGGCTTTGGCCAGGTCATGGCCATGTGTCAGCAGAATGGGGGGATGTTATTCCTCCTAGGCATGTTTCCATTCGCTCTTCGAGGCGCTGGGACGATGCCCCTTCAAACTCCAATGGCAGTGTCGCCATTCCAGACGCCGGTACCACAACCATCACCTTTCCAGCCCTAGCTGGTCAGTACCGTGGCTCCCATCAATTTGACCGGTGCGCTTAACGCCGTTGGGCCGTCACGCCCTGCACAAGGTACAAATCCACAGGTCACTCCTGATGGTCATTGCGTCTTAGTTGAGAGTGTTGACGACGAGTGGGATATTCCAAGGGCCCACAAGAAGAAGAAAGGAAAAACCATTCGACCAGCAACTTCCCGGCTGGGGAATAAGGAAGAAGGTCAGAGGAAGTCAGCGCATTCGCCCGGGTGGGCGAGGGGAGGGAAGCCGAGCCTGCCCGTACCCAGCGCTCTTGGTCTAACCGGCAATAGCCAGCAAAGACGACGACCTCTCGTTAAGAAGAGGAAGCAGAGAGCCAGCCCAGGGGACCGGTGGCTAACCAGCTAACCATCCCAAATGATCGCGTCCAGCAAATGGAGGCAAAATTGGAGAGGCTGGAGAAGAAGGTCGGGGAAAAAAGTGACTGGGATAAACCCCTAGCGGGGTCCCCGTTCACCACAAGAGTCCATCTGACACCTTTCCCGTGAAAGGTCAAGATCGACGCCCCGAGGTTTACTGGGAAGGAGGATCCAGAATTCCTTCAACCAGAGTGCAACTATGAACGGTTGCACAGACGAAGAAAAGTTTCTCCTTTTCTTCCAAACTTTGCGGAATCGAGCTACTGAATGGTTCAACAAGCTTCGCCTAGAGAGCATTGACTCGTTCAGCGATTTGGCCTCAAAATTCAAGGCCAAGTTCCAGGAGAATTGTACTAAGAGGAAGAAATTCATGTATCTTAGTACAGCCGGGCAGAGGGAATCTGAGAACCTCACTCAATTCCTTACCCGGTGGAAGGAAGAGGTAGACAAGGTAGAAGAGATGGACGACAAGACGGTGTTATCCCTTCTCTCGAATGGCTTACGTGCCGGGGAACTATACAAGGAGTTCTGCCAGAAACCCCCGGCCACGTATCAAGAGGCCTACCACACTGCATGAGAGTTTGCTGAGGCTGAAACCCAACTTCGGGCGAAGAAAGAAGCTAAGCATGGCTTCAAGCCCAAGCCGGTGCAAGTCAAGAAGGAAGAAGCACCGGGTCCTAGCCGGCCAAGGCACCATTATGACCCGGTCGTCTGAGTGATCAATATAGAAGAGTTCCAGGAGATAAGAAAAGCACCGGTCAATCCTCCAGAAAACCCTACCGATCAACCGGGACGACAATGGTCGGGCACATATTGTTTGTTCCATAGGTTAGATTCCCATAACACTTCCGAGTACAAGAGTGTTAAAGGAGTCATCCGTCAAATGATGGACAGCGGAGAACTAGGCAAAGACTATCTGCAAAAAGCCCAGGAGAAGAACCACCAGTGGATCAGGCCAGCAGCCCAAGGGAAAGATCGGGATAATGACCGACGGAAGAATAACCGGCAGAGGGAGCAACAGCCTGCCCCTGATAAAGAGCATATTGGAATGATCTTCGGCGGATCTGAAGGTGGAGATTCAGCCACGCAGCGAAAGAACTGAGTCCGCAGCATTTACGTTGGAGAAGTAAGTGCTGACCCGGTCAGACGAAAGCAGGCGAGGAGGGAACCGATAGTCTTCACTGATCGGGACCTTCCAGCCACCGGTGAAGACCATAATGATCCTTTGGTCATCACCATGGACATTAACGGGGTGGATGTTGCCCGGGTACTAGTTGACACCGGCAGTAGTGTCAACATCATGTAACTGGAGACTTTCCAAAAACTCAGGTTGTGTCGGACACAACTTGAACCCCTTAAAACTCCTCTTTCTGGTTTCACCAGGGACACCGTGGAAACTGAAGGATCGATTGTTCTACCGGTCGAACTCAGATTGGGGGACAAGACCGTATGGAAGAGGATGCGGTTCATCGTTGTGGACATAAAATGCGTCCATAACACGATTCTTGGGAGACCGGGCATCAACAAAGTCCGGGCAATGATTTCCATGCCTCACTTATGCATGAAATTCCATACACCGGGCGGTGTAGGAGAAGTTCGAGGTGATCAGAGGAACGCATGTGAATGCTATGCCCGGGCAGTGAAGAAGATGACGAAGGGGGTCAACGTCTTCTCCCAAGAGATCACCAAGGGAGAAACCCGGGAGAAACTGGAGCCTGAAGCTGAAACGGTGGAGATTAAACTCCACCCGGGTGATCCCTCAAGGACGGTCAAGATAGGAGCAAACCTCCCAGAGGATCTCAAGGCGGAGATTACACGGGTCCTCCAAGAGTATGCAGGCATATTCGCATGGAGCGTGGCAGATATGCCTGGGATTGACCGCTCAATCATCTGCCACCGGCTGGCAGTGAGGGACGGAAGTCGACCGGTACACCAGAAGAAGAGGTACTTAGCCAGTTACCGGCGAGACTTCGTCAAAAAGGAAGTCAAAGACCTCCTCAGTGTTGGTCACATCCGGGAAGTCAAATACCCGGAGTGGTTGGCCAATGTGGTCCTTGCCCCCAAGGGCGACGCATGGAGGATGTGTGTGGATTACACGGACTTGAATAAGGCTTGTTCGATGGATTCATACCCCCTTCGCAGTCCAGATCAAATGGTGGACGAAACTACGGGGTGCGAACTCCTAAGTTTCATGGATGCCTTCAAGGGCTACCACCAGATCTACATGGTCAAGGAAGATGAAGAGAAGACGTCATTCCTCACACCCGAACGAATCTACTGTTACCGGGTTATGGCATTTGGTTTGAAGAACTCAGGAGCAACTTACCAGCACATGGTAAACAAACTCTTCAAGCCACTACTAGGGAAGACCATGGAGGCCTACGTCGACGACATGCTAATTAAAAGCCAGGTATCTCTCAACCACCCGGCTGATATGCGTGCAACATTTGATATCATGGAAAGATACAACCTCCGGTTAAATCCCAAGAAGTGCGTCTTCGCGGTTCGTACCGGGAAGTTCTTGGGATTCATGGTGACCAAGAGAGGAATAGAGCCCAACCCAGAAAAAATCTGGGCTATCACTGAAATGCAAGCCCCTACCTCTATTAGGGATGTTCAAAAGTTGACCGGTCGTCTAGCAGCCCTCAGCCGGTTTCTTTCCCGGTCAGCTGAGAGATTCCTGCCCTTCTTCAAAGTCCTGAAGAAGGCCAACACATTTGCATGGGACAAAGACTGCCAGAAGGCATTCGAGGAGCTGAAAGAATACTTAGTGTCAGACATTGTATTGTCAAAACCCGAACCGGGTGAAACTTTGTATCTGTACCTAGGGATTTCCCCAAATGCTGTAAGCTCTGTTTTAATAAGAGATGATGGGGCACAAAAGCTCATTTATTATGTGAGCAAAGCACTAAACGAAGCTGAAAGTAGATATACGGCGATGGAAAAGACTGCATATGCGCTTTTCATCTCCGCAAAAAAGTTAACATCCTACTTCCAAGCGCACCCGGTGGAAGTCTTGACTAATCAACCATTGGGCGCAGTACTGCAAAATTCAACATCCTCAGGGAGGATGGTGAAATGGACAATGATGTTAACTCAATTCAATATTAAGTACTGGCCAAGGTCATCAATCAAGGGACAGGCCCTTACAGATTTCCTGGTAGAAATGACCGGTCTAACTCCAGACCTACCGGTCAACAAGCCCACTGAGCAATGGTGGGAGATGGCGGTAGACGGGGCATCTGGTCCTAAAGGGTGCGGGGGTGGTATAGTGTTTACCACCCCGGAAGGGTTCAAGATCTACCATGCACTCATCTTCAACTTCAAACTGACAAACAATGAGGCGGAATATGAAGCTCTGGCTGGAGGGCTCAGACTTGCTCAAGATCTCAAAATCAACCGGGTCAGTATCAAATCTGACTCTAGTCTGATTGTTGGGCAAGTGACCGGTAATATGGAAGCAAGGGAAGGACGAATGGCGCAATACAAGGACCTGGTGCTTGCCTTGTAATGGTGGCCATCGATTACTTCACCAAATAGATCGAAGCCGAAGCGTTGGCCAATATCTTCACACAACAATGTAAGAAATTCATTTGGAAGAACATCATCACCCGGTTTGGAGCTCCTATAAATCTCATCACCAACAACGGTCCACAATTCCGGAATCCGAGATTCACCGAATACTTGGAGGGCTTCGGGATTAAACACAATCGTTCTTCGGTGGCATATCCGCAAGGAAATGGCCAAGTAGAAAACGCCAACCGAACGATTGTGGATGGTTTGAAGAAGCGGCTTGGGGAGGCAGGAAACAAGTGGTTGGAAGAGCTTCCCCACATCATATGGGCGTTTCGAGTAACACCCAGGAGGGCTCATGGGGAAACTCAATTTTCCCTAACCTATGGGTGTGAAGAAAGATTACCAATCGAAGCTGAATTCCCAACATTCCAGGAATCAAATTATCAACCCTAGCAAAATGAAGAAGACCATTTAGCCGAATTCAACTTGGTTGAAGAACGAAGGATGGCTGCGGAAGTTAAAATGAATACTTACCAACAAGTCGTGAAGAAATACCATGACAACAAGGTTTGACCGCGATACTTCCAAGTTGGCAATGAATTCCTACGAAGAAGAGAAGCTAGTAGGCTGGGAGATGGAGGAAAGCTGTCAAAGAATTGGGAAGGACCTTACCGGGTGAGAGTTATTATTCGCCCAGGAACCTACCGGTTAGAAACTCTGGATGGTATACCAGTAGAAAGAACTTGGAATTCTCATCATCTCCGTAAATTCTACAAATGATTGTAATACTAGGCAAGGCCTACTTCTATTATCAATCGAATTGATGGAGTCAAATATTCTATCTGGGAGTAGCAAAAATGATAGGTCGAACCTATCCTAGGAGGGCTTCCCGGGTGGATCGAATCCACTTGGATAAGCCAACTGAGACATAGGCCCGGACCTGGCACGCTGCTTACTACACCGGTCTTGCTCAATATAATAGAAAAAATAATAAAACCCGGAAAAGGGGCCCCAGAAGAGGGGTATGCCTGCAAGAGGGCTGGACCTGGAAGAAGGTTCGAACCGTACTTACACGGGCCCATGAGGTTTAACTGGTATCGGGGAATCAGCCAAAACTGTCAAACTAAGTGGGGACTAAAAGATGCTCATTAAAAGAAATAGAAGAGGATCGTCCACCAAGATGCATCATATTCCGACCGGATCGGATTCCCCCTTCTCAGGGAAGACTTGAACGGAGGGTGAGCTAAGGCCTTCCCGGGATAGTAGAAATCAAAGGACCATTAAAAGACTTAATCACCCGGAAGAGGAGGCCCTGGAAGAAGGGTGCATTTGAACCTTAGAGAGGGTTCGAAACCATCCGACATGGTTAAATCTCTAGTATCCTTACTGGTTAAGGATACTTCAAAATTTTACAAGTTGCAGGTGCTTCCATCTATAACCTACCGGTGAAAAAAAAGATTACCCTGGTTGGGTATTAATACAACAGAACTTCGAAAATTCTTCAAGGCGAAGCAGTTAACCGGTCAGACCGTGAAGTGGGAACCTACCGGTTAAACTGCACTTGATAGCATTCAAGTAGACCACCGAAAGGAAGATATTCAGAAAAAAAAGTTGCAGTTCTACCGGCATAAGTTAGTTAGATTCAAGATTCAAAGAAGTGATTGCATTTTGTGCCGGTTAAAGTGTGTATGCAGACAACCAAAGGGTCAAATGCAGGATATTAAACCAAAACATTCAAAGGGGAAACTATGACCGGGTGGAAAAGTAAACGTGCATTTGAACATTAAAAGTTGAATGTTAAAATGATTACAAAATAGACTGGGCATACCCGGGGAAATTGAGAGTTATTAAAGTTTCACAAATTGAAACAACCGGGTGCAGCCGGGGAGTTTAATCGAGGGGGGATGGGGGAGAAGGCTCTTCCTCAGGGATGGGAGCCAGGCCGTAGGATGCAGCGCTGAGGTCCGGGTCTCTTTTGAGCAATACCCAGTGAGAGGGGATACGGTCCTTCTTTTGACCGCTCTTGAATCCGAAGGATCCAATCGCGGTAATCATCTTCCTACCCTCAGGCTCCCGGTACAAAAGCCTGAAGGACTCCATCGTGGCCTCCGCTGTTGCCGTCATCACCCTGGCAGCATCGGCTTTGTTCTCTTCCACCCAGGCAGCTGCGTGCCCGGGGAAGTTTTCTTCCTTCTCCGCCATCTCCTTCTTGGCTTCGGAGACCTCATCCATCAGCCGGCTATTCTCCTCCTTCAGCTGGGAGATCTCGGCCTTCATTCTCCCGGCCATCCCGGATAGCCGAATAAGTTCATCTGCCTGGCTCTTCAAGATAAGGGCCATCTCTTCTTTTTCCTTCTTCGGCCGGTCAACTTCGAAAGGGGAGCCAATCCCCAACCTGTCCACTGTGAGCGGCCCGATCTCCCTGGCCTACACAAAACATGACACGGGGTTATAATTTATCAAAAAGGGAAGAACACAAATGGCCGGGACAGTGATATGCCTTACCTCTTTCAACCGCAGGCCTAAGTTGAAAAAGGCATCCTCAATGGTTTGGGAGACCGGGTCTGAATCTGCCCTCTACCTCTTCTTGCTGAAGGATGGATGGGTAGTGGCGACCTTCTTGATCCGGCGGCTGGTCTTCTCCTTGTTCTTCCCCTTAGACCGGTCATCTTAGGGCTCATCCTCGTCATGGATTTCCACGGTCTCTGGTCGGACCGTGAAAGTTTTGGCAGTGTCAGCTTGGGAGCAATTGGTCTCTCCCGCTGGCTGATCTTCGGGCATGACGAACTCCTAGAACTCCATCTCTGCAAAAAAACCAGCGAAAACGCTAAGTATAGAAAAAGACACCGGTTAAGAAAAATTGCTTACGAAGTGAATCACAAATACCTGGGTGGGAGTTGCCCTTAGCCTCTACAGTGTTGCCCGGGTAGGGTACCCCGCGCCCCGCTGCTTCATGGGCCTGGGAGGTACCCTCACCACCCGGTAGGATTCTCCAGACCCAGCTCCCATAGTGGAATTTCCTCCCGGTGAACGGATCACCGCAAAGGAGAATCTCAAGGCTTTCTTCAAGATCAGGGGAAGATGCCGGTAGGGTATACTCATGGTTTAGAAGATGGTCGTTCCATTTCAGGATGGCCAAGGGGGTGACGAATGGGGGAAACTCAATAAAAACGAATTTTTCCTTCCATCCCCGGTTACGTTGGGGGACGTCGGAAATAAATTTCCTACCGGTACGGCCTTCGAAGTATACAAAACCTTCACAGCCGGTCCCACCCGGTAGGACTTCAAAACAGAAAAGGAAAAGATGAAGAGAAGGATCTATTTTTAGGTGAGAACATATGTTTACAAAGGAATGGAGATACCGATGCGCGTTAGGAGTTATCTGGCCAGGTAAAATCCTAAACGTGTGGCATACTTCGGTTAGGAGGGGGCGAAGGGGAAAAACAATGCCCCCATCCAAAGAGACAATGTGGAAACCTATCCTATTCTCCCGGTGGCGTTCAACTATGTTCGGCCAATCATGTTCGTACTGAAGGATGTACCCATCCGGGAGCCTTCTACGAACCTTGTTAAGGGCAATTTTGGATACATGGGAGGAAATGTCAAGAACGTAATAGGTGGGGAGTGGAAAGTAACCGGCAGTGCGAAGCCGCTCTTCCCACTCCTCCCAGGACTCAGTGTCAGGGTCATAGGGACCCGGTTCGTTATCAACTGGTTCGTCCCTCTCCACGAAAACTTGACCGGGCACCTGGTTTACTGGCTCCGGCTCGGGGACAGACGGGCTGGGAACCTGACCGAGTACGGAATCCGAGGAATAGTACCCGGTCGAAGAAGAGGAGGTAGAATCCTCAGATGAGGAGTCATCTGAGGACGAGATCCTATGACTACTAGGGGAAGACATGACCGGGAAAGTAATTAAAGAAAAGGAGGGAGACTTACTTGACTTAGAGGGCTAGGAAGCGAAAGAAGGGAACTCGACCGGTGAAAGCTTTGGAATCCAAAGTGCGAAAAGTGAGAAGTAAAGAGGGTTGAAGGTCTTTATATAGGAGGAGGGAAGCCGAAATAGGCGCAATGATGACACACTAGCACGCGAAACGACGGGTGGACAGCTAACCATTGTAGTGGCAAGCGTCCAACACGTGTCGGAATCCAGAGTTTTTGAAATTCAAATTTTGAAAATATACGGCGGGAAGAGCCAAAAATTCAAAATTGGCGTCCTGTTTTAGATTTCTTACTTCCCGCTCATGACAAATTGCATGACCACGAAGTGGAGGGCTTATTGATGGGTGTATTCCACCCAGGACCGGTCAAAGAGGGAGTCTAAATATTCCAGTCAAGTGGATTATTTTTGGAAGGGAGACCCAAATCGTTAGTAAAAGGATGCTCGTTTGACCAAAAAGTTGACCGGTATACTTCGGATAGTATACCGGTCAAACTACTTCATCACCTCGTTCATTCCCTAATTTCGATAAACTTATCCCTCAGAAGTTACCCGGTGTAATTTCTAGGGTTGGGGGGTGTCGGCAGAGAAGAGTCCAAAGGAGTTTGGACCGTAGCGACCAAGATCAGTGGAGAATTGCTGGAGATACTCGAACAAAGGAATCCATCCAAGGTGTTGCATGACAAAGGGAGTAAGCTTCCTCACTAGGCGACAAGGCAGCTAAAGGACGAAGGCCATTACCTCTCACCATCCGAGAATGTGCCTTCACGTGGGTGCACGAAGTCCTGTCCCCTTCAAACTTAGTATAAATACTGCTGTAATCCTCAGAAAGAGGGATCAGAATTCATTCCCTCTAAACCCCCTTGTAAAAGCACTCGTGCATTCTCTGTTATAATATTAATTGGGCTACAGGTGTTTCCACCTAATGTCCTCCCAGTCATATTTGTGTGTTTTTACCTTTTTACTTCCCGAATCAAGTAAACAATCCTAGACCCGGTCTAGAATTGTTTACCCGGTTAGGTAATTTACACCATCAAAGGCTATCTAGAAGACCTCTAAGATAGACCACAAATCAGAATGGGCCTTGCGGGTACAAACATATATATTCGATGGCCTTGGGTAAAAACCTACATACGGGATCCACAAACCAAATTAGAGGCACTCGTTTGGGGAAAGCACCCAACCCGACAGTTAGTAATGTACTGTTTGGTTTTATGGATTTGTACCTTAAGCGAAGGATAGTTTAAGAGTTGGTAAAATCAATCAAAAAATATGTACCTTAAATTAATGACCTAGCTTTAAAGTTTGTTAGAAGTACCTTAAACTCAAATTACTTTAAGAGTTGGTAAACATAAAAAAGATTGGCCTTAGACTAAGCATAGCTTAAGGATATGGTTGAAAATTGAATATGAATGTTGAATGTTGAGATTTTGAATATCGAAATGACTTAAAATAAAATATTGACAATATAACGAATGAATCATATGTTGTGTGCATGATATCAAATGGTTGATTATGAATTGAGATTCAATTGATGTTGATGTTCGATGCTTTAGATATGTTTACTCAGCTTCACCGCTGAGTATGTAGTATATTTTATTTGCTACACGCAGGCAGACAGAATGAGTGATTGGCATAATCTTGGCAGCGGAAGGGGCGAGACAGTCGTGGTGGAATATATGATTCAATTGCTAATTGTGTTGTTATGAGACATGGTTTAAATTTGCTTCCGCATTACTCCCTCCGTCCATAAATAAACTTCCCACTTACCTTTTTCGTCCGTCCACAAATAAACTTCCCATTTCTTTTTTTTGGAAACTTTTTTACACTAAAAAGACTTATTTACCCCCAACCATCAACCTTTTTTTCTTTCTTCCTCCTCTCTCCATCCACAATCACTGACCGGCCATCCATATTCTTCTCTCCTTTTCTTCTCTCTTTTTCCATTTCTTCTTTTCCGAGTTTCCCTTTTGATTCACCCACTCCCCCTTCACTTTTCTTCGTTTTTCTCTCTTCTTCTTCTTCTTCTTCCTTCTTTTCTCTTCTCTTCTTCGTTCTTTTCTTCTTCTTTCTTTTCTTCTCCACCATCTTCCTTTATTTATCCCCCCTTCAGAATTTGTCCCGTCACCTAGTGATTGGGAGCAGCGGAGCAGCAAGGCAGTGGTCGGAGTTGACGCGGCGTTCAGATTTGCTTCTCTTCCGACATAGCCGCCATCAATTCCATAGATCTACAAAGCCTCCGTTACTCCTACCCTCACTTCTTGCCGTGAAAACCTCAAATGAAAGAGATTCATCCTCTTTCGGGTTGTCTTCAACAAGAAGATACAAAACAGATCTAGAATAGATCTACGAGGATGGGGGTTACAGAATGGATGACGGAAACTGGTCGAAGGAAGATCCCCCCGTGGCCGCATTCTTGGTGGCAGTAGCACCATAAATATCGAATTCCACAGCCGGGCGGACTGGGAGTTCAATCTCCGGTCAAGAATCTTCCGGTCAAGAATCGATTGGGACATGTGGGGAACCAGTCTTGCGAATGGGTGGAGAGGGTGCAGGGGTATAATAGGAAAGTCAAAGCAATTTTTATCACACATTAATATGCGTGCCCGGTCAAACTGGGAAGTTTAATTTTGGACGGAGGGAGAATTATTAAACACTCTGTATTTTGCTACAATTATGTATTGAATATTATTTTATGATGAATAAAGATGTTGAAATGTTTTAAATTTTTACGATTACCAAGTTAATACTTTAGTCCAAAAGAGACTGCAGACCTGGACGGATTAGAGTGTTACAATTTGGTATTGAGGCAAATGGTTTTAAAACTGATATTCGGATCAAAATTTTGTTTTAATATATATATATATATATATATATATATATATATATATATATTCTGGTTCTGTTGAAAATGCAATTTTATAAAAGAAATAAGAATGAATCTGGTGCTTTAGATTGTGAGATCTAAAAGTCAGGATTGCATCAAAATTAGGTGCACCAAAATGGTTTGAAAATGCGTCATGTCGAAATGCAAAAAAATCCTTTGAAACTGCACTATCTCAAAATCTGAGTGCAGGATGCAATGTGAGCCGCACAATGAATCAGATCCAAAGGCTAGATTTTATTCTTATTTCTTTCACCAAGGTGCATTCTCACCTGAACCGACCCTTATATATATATATATATATATATATATATATATATAATTTAAAGGATTTTATTCAAAAAAAAAGGAAAAGTACATAAAGTGGGGGTGGCCAACCCCTACAAAGGGCCAAAGCAAAAAAGAAAGTGCAAAAAAAGGAAAAGTTAAAAAGGATCACAACAAAGGGAAGAAGACGTTCAGGTGTGATATATATATATATATATATATATATATATATATATGGTTTTTTGTACAAGGAGTTGTGGAGTTGGTATATGGTATATCCGGATGTACATAGAAATAAGTACATTCAGGTAGTACTCATTCTCGTGCAAATATAAACATTTATTTCGAAATACGTAGTATTCATTCTGGCAAAGGTAGTACTCATTTTAAAATAAAGAAGTACTCATTTTTACATATTTGTCTAATATAATTATAATAAATAGCATAGCGTTAATTCTTAAAAAAACAATACTTATTCTCAAATAAGGAAATGTTAATTCTGAAATATAGTATTGTTCAATTTTTTCACAATTAAAAAGTTTAGTACCATCATCAACTTCTTTTTCTATTCGATTCGTTCCTACTCATTTATACTTTCTAAGCATGGAGAATTTAAAACTTAGGTTTATTCATATTTATATTGAATGAGAATATGATAATTCTCATAATGGTACTCCTTAAATCTAAATCTAATGGTACTCATTGTCATGTATAATAGTTGTCCTATATATATATATTCCACGCGCTAACTCCACCTTCCAGTTCATTTGCTTGACTTTTGTCATCCCTGCACCACAAACACTCCCTCGCCGTCAATCATTGGCAGCGACCAACGGCGGAAACCTAAATATTTTTTCTTTCGTTTTTATTTCCCGCGTGTCGATGAGTGAGAAGGCTCAAACAGAACACCCATCGGATTTGGAGTCTCGACCGCCCACTGAAGCACAGACGGAGGCGCCTGCGCCAAATGCCGATTGTGGACTTCGATCGGATTCGGAAACGGCCATTGTTGCTAATTGTCCGCTTGATATTCATCGAAATCCATCAAACCCTTCTAAAATCCCTATTCGGCCAGGGAAAATCCGAAAACTATCGGCTACGACCTCTGTCGAGTTTGCTGATCAGAGTCGCTCAGAAACTACCGCCGATCCCTCTTCTCCTTCTGCTACCAAAGCGACCATTCCGGTAACTTCTTTTGTGTCGACATCAGGTGCTTCCACTACTCTCATTTCTCCGTCCTCCAGAAATCGTAGGAAAGCTCTTACGCAGATATCTAGGGTTTTGTCCCAAATTGTCAAGCCCTTGTCAGCTGATGGAGAAATTGAGCTTGCCCTTCGCCACCTCCGAGCTTCAGACCCTCTCCTTGTGTCTCTGATGGACACCCTCCCTCCTCCAACATTTGAAACCCGTCACCCACCTTTCCTAGCTCTGGCAAAGAGTATTCTTTACCAACAACTTGCATATAAGGCCGGTACGTCCATATACACACGATTCATCTCTCTCTGCGGAGGGGAGATAGCTGTTAATCCTGACACAGTCCTTGCTCTCTCAGCTCAACAGCTCAAGCAAATTGGAGTCTCGGGCCGAAAAGCAAGCTACCTGTATGACCTTGCAAACAAGTACAAGTCTGGGATTTTGTCTGATGACACTGTCGTTAAGATGGATGATCGTTCGTTATTCACAATGCTATCAATGGTCAAGGGCATTGGCTCTTGGTCGGTTCACATGTTCATGATCTTTTCACTGCACAGACCAGATGTTTTGCCTGTAAGCGACTTGGGGGTAAGAAAGGGGGTACAACTGCTGCATGGGTTAGAGGATTTGCCGAGGCCATCTCAGATGGAGCAGTTGTGTGTGAAATGGAAACCCTATAGGTCAGTGGGAGCATGGTACATGTGGCGGTTTGTAGAAGGAAAAGGGAC